AGTAAAGTTTAGAACCACCCAAATAGAGGTCCAATACTTCCTGGACCATAGGTATGGGACGAGTAGTACACGCGTAGGGTACGACTTAGAATTAAATTAGAGCTCTCTTAGGTAAACAACTTTAACATAGTAATTGGGTAGCAGGAGATGCTAGTCTATGCCCGCTGGATAATATGAGTAGCACCCTATCTCAAAGGAGTACGAAATATTATTTATGTTGTACGGGGTGATCCTTTAGGCTAAAAAACATAGCCCCCCCCGCCTTTCTATGTTTGCTATTAGAATTGGAATAGTTGTATCTCTATATTCGTATTAAGATTTTTTTGTAATAAATTTCTCTAACCTTTATATTCTCTTTTGCTTATTTGATCACTTAGACTAATCCATATAATTTTAAGTTCAGTCGGGACCCATAGTTGTGGACCTCGAAGAGTGCCTAACACCTTCTCTTTAAGGTAATTTGAGCCCTTACCCGATCTTTGGTGGCATTGACTAGTCAAGTAGAGTTATCTGCTCAATAGGTGCCCTAACGCACCTTAAAAATCATTAGGTNCCGGGACCCATAGTTGTGGACCTCGAGGGGCGCCTAACACCTTGTCTTTGAGGTAACTTGAGCCCTTACCCAATCTTTGGTGGTGTTGACTAGTTAAAACAGAGTTATTCGCAAATAGGTGCCCTAACGCACCTTAAAAATCCTTAGGTGGCTATTCTCCTTTTTTAATACCTCCTTTAAAAGAGTTGTCACATATCGAAGCCCGATTTCGCAAGAAGAAAACAAACGGGGCGCGACAGCATGCCGAGTCTGTTGGGGATTTACACTTAGGCTCTTACCATCGCGAATTTGGCTTATATGGATTAGTCTTCTTTAATATAAACGCGCTTTCGTTTTCCGGTTTTTTATTTGCTACTACATGCACATCCCTCTCCCATTTTTCTTTTATTTTTAAATTCGTTGTAATATGCACATCCCTTCCCCGCTCCACCTTCCTTTGCTTAAATTGGTTATAACATTCATATCCCTTTCCTATTCACCTTTATTTGCTCTAAACTGCTCTTTATTTGTGTAAAGATTGCTACATCATGTCTCTCCCGTCCCTACTCCCTTGTTTGCTTTATTACATTCTCGCATATATTCCACGGACTAACTTCTTCCTTTGTCTTTCTTTTATGTTTTTCATGTTTTACCTTAATACTGTATTTACCATTTTTTATATATTTATCATACTTGGCAATTGGTAATTATCTCTGCATAAAGCATGCTCCACATCATACACCACTCGTGCCAATTATCAACATAGCGGCGCTTGATGAGTGTCTGATGCGCTGTAGAATTTAGGCACTTTGAATACCAATTACATCGACTCCAGCTTGTCTTTCAATGCATTTTTAGTTAATTCTTATGAAGTTTTGGTGTTTTGTAGTGCATGAGACTTGAAGGCCCAAACACATGGAAAAGAAGTCAAAAAGCCACAAAAGGGCAGGAATGCTGCAAGTATGTGACCGCAGAGGTAATATGCGGACCGCATAATCACCGCAAACTGAAGCAGATTTTTGGCAAACTGAAGAGAAGAATGTGCGGTCCATTATGTGGTCACATAACACTTCTGTGAACCGCATAATGACCGCACAATTGCAATTGAAGAATCTGTGTAGCACTTCTATGATGAAAAATGTGGTCGCATAACCGATATGCGGACCTCATAATGGAAATGCGGTGGAAATCTGGGCTTGAAGATCTGAAATTCTGCGATGCAAGTGTCAACTATGCGGACCGCATACATGGTATGCGACCATTATGCGGTCGCAGAAGGGCTTTGCAGGGGTATTTTTGTCAAATCTTGACCCCGACTTTTAGTCCACTATAAATAGATTTACTAGGATTTTGTGGGAAATTGAGTCAGAAAAAGAGGCTACTTATAGAGCATTGAATGCACCATTGTTTTGGAAGCTTTTGAAGAAAGCATCTTGTATCTTTGTAAGCTTTATGACTTCATTTACTGCTTGTTCTTGGATTCCAGTATAAGTAGCTAGTTTTAACTACTAAGGTTGTGGACCCTATATGGGTGTAATGTTAATGGGTGTTTACCATTGAATATATGTATAATGGTTGGTTGATATTTATTCAGTTCTTATGCTTCATGTATTGTTAGTGGTTGCAAACATTAACTAATTTCCATTTCACTCTATCTTTACTTGGAAAAGTGGGTTAGGGTTTGGTAGAATTGAATATCAAAAACTCAGGGCTTTAAACATTGTTTAAAGGAATCGCCTAGGAATAAGTGGGTTCTATTTGGCATAAATTGGTTATTTTTAATTGCAACTCTTTTATATTTGGGAAAATCTTAAAGAGAAGATATTACCCAACTATTGGAAAATATTGGGTAGTCACTTATAAACCATTTGCATATCAAAGGACTTTCCATTAGAAATATATCATATTAACACTGATAGCATTATATTCAATCGATGGGGACACAACCTTGGTTTCCTTAATCAAATTAAATACAATCTCACAATACAATAGTCTTCTTTACTACACATAGTTACAACACCATTTTCAAGCTAACAGAATAGAATAACGACTTAAGTCAAGTTTTACTTTTTTTAAGTAATCGTTTCACACCTATTCCCTGTGGGATTCGACCCCAACCTAGTTGGGTTACTATGTTTGATATCGACCGCCTTACATTAATTATTTAGGTGTAATGTGAGCGTATCAAATTTTGGCGCCGTTGCCGGGGAATACGGTTTTGAAATTACCATTTGGTGTGTGCTTTACTTTACATCTTTTTCTATTCCATCACACTTTGCTTGCTTTGCTTTGTGTTCTAGGTAAACATGGCCGAGTATGAAGAAGAAGAGAATCCTTTTGCGGATATAGATGAGTACATCGAGGATACAAATGCCATTGTCCCTCCACGAGTTGCTACTGCTACCTTCAAGGTGGAACATGGTTTGATCCTTATGCTTAAAGTTGGGGGTTTTTCATAAATTCTACCGATGATGATCCGACACAACATCATAGAAACTTCTTGGGTGTGTGTGCGATGCACAAGCAGAACAATGCGTCAGATGATGCCCTAAGACTAGGGTATTCAAGTACTCATTAGCTAGAGAAGCAAGGAAATGGATCCAAAATCTACCACCTCATTCCATTCACTCTTGGCCTGAGCTCGTCCGAGCTTTCCTAGATAAATTGTTCCCACAAAGAAGGAAGTCCAAGCTCACAGACAAAATTTTCTTCTTCAAGCAACTACCGGGGGAACACCTACATGAGGCATGGGATCGATTCAAGCTATATCTAGTGAGGTCGCCGAATCATGGTTTTCTGGACACAATCTTGTTGGAGAAGTTTTACATGGGTTTGGATCCGTTGAACCAATCCATAGCCAAAAAATATGGCGGATGAATCTTTTATGGATAAAACATTCACAAGGGTCACACAAATTCTTGACAAGATAGCAGAACATAATCAAGCTTGGCACTCGGAAGATACCACGGGTGGAATTGCATACGGTACTCCCTCTTTGACCAACATGTTTAAGGAGAACCAAGAGAGAGATCAAGTAATTTCCGCGCTTGCCACCAACATTAATGTGTTAACCAAGATGTTCACTGAAAGCCAACCAAAAAAGGTAAATGCTGTGAAAGATGTGCAACTCTTGTCAAACGAAGATTGCGAGGTAGCAAATTAAGTCCATAATTCTCACGGCGGTTACCAAAGACAATCCTACCAAGGTCCCGGACAACAAAATCAATGGAGGCCTAACCCGTAAGGGCAAGGCCATCAACAATGGTGAAACGATCAAGGTGGTTCACGTCAAGGTAATTGGAGTAACAACAACAACAACTATTCAAACCGGAGTTCAAAGCCCTATGTTCCACCAAAGGGGCAATACTCTAACTCTTCAAATGGGTCCAAATTGGAGAACATGCTTGAAAGTGTATTGCAAAATCAAGAAAGAAACGACACTTCAATTAAGAACATGGCCGAAATTGTGGGGTCACACACCGCATCCATACAAAAGCTAGAAATGCAAATGAGAGATATATCAACAGAGCAAAATCCAAACCAAAAGGACGCACTCCCAAGTGACATAATTGCAAACCCAAAAGGTAATGGGAGTGGACCGACTTCTCATTGTATAGCAATCACAACTCGAAGCGGGAAAGTACTTCAAGGAGAGAATGAACAAATGGTTGAAGTTAATGATATTGAACAAGATGTTGAGGCACAAGTTGAGGTGCCAATTGTTGTTGAAGTTAAAAAGCTCCCAAAGGAAGTGAAAGTCCAAAAAGCGAACCATGAAGAGGTCAAGGAAAAGGTAAAAGAGGCACCAAAAGCTCTAGCACCAATTCCTATACCTCCCCCTCCTTTCCCTCAAAGGCTTGCTAGGAGGGTTGATGATAGCAAACTCGAGAAATTCTATGACATTCTCAAGCAATTATCGGTGAACATTTCATTTGTGGAAGCATTTCAAGAGATGCCGGGTTTTGCTAAATAGTTGAAGGACTTGATCACCAAGAAGAAAACCACCAAAGATGAAGTGGTGAATGTGACTCACTGGGTTAGTTACATCATTGCTACAACTACCGTTCAAAAGAAAGAAGACCCGAGAGCTTTCACCATTCCATGAACTATTAGGTTGCGAGATTTTGCAAGGGCTCTTTGTGATAATGGGGCTAGATTCAACTTGATGCCTCTTGCTATTTACAAGCAAGAAGGGTTAGGTATGCCGCGGCCTACAAGCATGAGGTTATATATGGCCGATCATTCAATCAAGAGACCGGTGTGGATTGTTGATGATGTCCTTGTGAAAGTGGGAAAGTTCCTCCTTCCCGCCAATTTTGTGATCCTTGTCTGTGCTGTTGATAAAGAAATCCCTATCATCTTGGGGAGACCATTCCTTGCTACCGGAAGAGCACCTATGGATTCAGAATGAAATGAGATCAAGTTCTGAATTAATGATGAAGAGGTAACATTTCAAGCAAGTAAGGGTATGAAGTTGCCACATCAATATGAGAGCATCTCAGTCATTGATGTTGTTGATGAGGTAGAAGGCGCAATTGAGATTAAGATGGAAGAAGAATGCCTTGGTGAGGCTTTGGCGGCTATATTGGTGAATTTTATGGTGAAGACATGGAGTGGTACATGGAATCGGTGAATGCATTAGAAGGATGTGGGTCCTACACTTATGAACCAAAGAAACTTTCTCTTGACTTAGAGTATATAGTCACTCCCCCCCGCCAAGCCTTCAATTATTGAGCCGCCACAACTTGAGCTCAAGACACTTCTACCGCACTTAAGGTATAAATTTATTGGCTGTAATGATACCTTATAGGTAATCATTTCTTCTTTGTTGAATGATGTGCAGGTAGATCATTTGTTGAATGACCTAAGGGAACACCGACAAGCCATTGGGTGTACAATAGCGGACATCTGGGGGATTCCCGCCGGAATTTATGAGCACAAGATACAATTGGAGAAAGAAAGTAAACCTAGCGTGGAGAATCAAAGAAGGTTAAACCCTTCCATACAAGAGGTAGTGAAGAAAGAAATCATCAAGTGGTTAGATGTCGGGGTAGTCTACTCCATTGCCGATAGTTCTTGGGTGAACCCGATGCAATGTGTACTGAAGAAAGGAGGCATGACCGTGATCCAAAACGAGAATAGTGAGCTCATCCCAACGAGAAATGTGATTGGATGGAGAGTTTGTATGGATTACCGGAAGCTCAATGGTGCTACTTGCAAAGACCATTCCCCTATGCCTTTTATTGATCAAATGCTTGATCGGCTAGCGGGAAGGTCATTCTATTGCTTCTTGGATGGATATTCTGGCTATAACCAGATCAATATCGTCTTGGAAGATCAATAGAAGACAACGTTCACATTCCCATATGGGACTTTTGCCTTTAGCCGTATACCATTTGGGCTATGCAACGCCCCGACTACCTTTCAACGGTGCATGATGTCAATCTTCTCATACATGGTGGAAGATTTCCTAGAGGCATTTATGGATGACTTCTCTATAGTAGGTGATTCCTTTGAGCATTGTCTTGACAACCTTAGGCAAGTGCTCAAAAGATGTGAAGAAACAAACCTTCTGCTAAACTAGGAGAAGTGCCACTTCATGGTGGGCGAGGGCATTGTTTTGGGCCACAAAATTTCCAAACAAGGCATAGAGGTTGACCGAGAAAATATTGAAATCATTTCTAAGCTTACTCCACCCACTTCAGTAAAAGGTTTCCGGAGCTTTTTGGGGCACGCCGGGTTATATATGCGTTTTATCAAGGACTTCTCCAAAATTGCAAATGCCATGTGCAAGCTCCTTGAAAAAGATGCAAAGTTTGTATTTGATGATACGTTTCTCAAAGATTTTGAGGAACTGAAAGAAAAGCTTACCACGGCACCTATTATTGTTACACCCGATTGGTCCCTTCCATTTGAACTCATGTGTGGCGCCAGTGGTGTAGCTATTGGGGTGGTGCTTGGACAACAACATAACAAAATCCTTCACCCTGTCTACTATGCAATCAAGACACGCAATGGTGCTCAAATGAATTATACTGTGACAAAGCAAGAACTTCTTTCCATTGTCTATGATTTTGAAAAATTGTGGGCCTATTTGTTGGGGTCCAAAGTGATAGTTTATACCGATCATGCTGCTCTTCGCTATCTTATAGCGAAGAAAGATGCCAAACCAAGATAGATTCGGTGGGTCCTTTTGTTGCAAGATTTTGACTTTGAAATCAAGGATCGAAAAGGGACGGAAAATCAAGTTGTGGATCACCTATCTAGGCTTGAAGAGGCAGGGAGGCCAAAAGAGAACCTTGAAATCAATGATGCCTTTCCAGATGAGCACATATTGGCATTGTCTAACACGTTCGCTCCTTGGTATGCCGATGTTGCGAACTTTTTGGTTAGTGACCTTGCTCCCGATGTATTGGAAGCTTATCAAAAGAAAAAGTTCTTGCAGGAGTGTAGGCAATACTATTTGGAGGAGCCTTTTTTGTTCTGTATTTGTTCCGACAACATCATTCGGCACTGTGTTCCGAAAGATGAGGTAATGCCAATTCTCAAGGCATGCCATGACTCCCTGGTTGGGGTCCATCATGGAGAAAACCGGACGGCGGAAAAAGTGCTTGAATGTGGCTACTATTGGCCATCGATCTATCATGACGCAAATCAAATCGTTAAGGCATGCGATCATTGTCAAAGACAAGGGTCAATTTCTAAAAGGCATGAGATGCCTATGAATTTTATAATGAATGTCGAGATCTTTGATGTGTGGGGGATCGACTTCATAGGTCCATTTGTGAGCTCTTATGGCATGACATATATCTTGGTGGTTGTGGACTACGTCTCCAAGTGGGTCGAGGCAATCACCTTGCCCAACAATGAGGCAAGGAGTGTGACCGCATTCTTGAAGAAGAACATATTCACGTGGTTTGGTACGCCCAGAGCCATCCTTAGTGATGGTGGTTCTCACTTTTGCAACAAGGCTTTCACCGGGCTGCTCGAAAAGTATGGCGTAAAGCACAAGGTGGCTACACCTTATCATCCTCAGTTGAGTGGTCAGGCTGAAGTTTCCAGCAGGGAGATTAAAAACATCCTAGAAAAAACTGTCAATACAAACAGGACCGACTGGTCAAGGAAGCTAGATGATACGTTGTGGGCATATCGCACAACATTTAAGACCCCCATTAGCACCTCACCGTACCGGTTGGTTTTTGGTAAGGCATGTCACTTGCCTGTGGAGCTTGAAAACAAAGCCATGTGGGCTCTGAAAATGTTGAATCTTGACTAGGCCAAAGCTGCTAACCTAAGAATGACACAACTCAATGAGATGGAAGAATTCTGTCTCCATGCCTATGAGAGTGCAGCCATGTATAATGAGAGAATGAAGTTTGTTCATGACAAGAAGATCTTGAAGGGGGAATTCAAATTTGGTGACTTAGTCTTACTCTACATCTCATGACTCAAGTTATTTCCGGGCAAACGCAAATCCACATGGTCTGGCCTGTTCAAAGTTGTAAATGTGTCCCCTTATGGTGCTATCAAATTGGAGTCGGAGGACGGGACTCGAACTGTCAAAGTAAATGGCCAACGGGTTAAGCATTACCTTGGCACCACAGGAGAAAAGCACCTGGTAGAACAAATTGCTCTCAAGGATAGTCCTACACCAACCACTGAGTAGCACAAATGGGATCGACATCGTCGTGCCGCGACGTTAAATCAAGCGCTTCTTTGGAGGCAACCCATGTGTGGTAACACTCTTTTGTTAGTTTTTCATCTATGTAGGTGTAGTTGTTATGATTGAGTAGGTTGACATGTATGTTAGAATGCAAGTAGTCAAAAATACCATGAACAGGGTGCATGTACTGAGGTAAATGAAGGAAAGAAGGGTCTGTGGTTTGCGGCAACTATGTGGTCGCATAATGACTTTGCAAACCGCATAGTGGTCGCAGACATAGTCAGAGAAATTGACAAGATGGGTCTGCAAAAATGCAGTAAGGTTTCAGATTTTGTGGCCCGCATAACAAATATGCGACCGCACAAATCATTGCAAAATAAAGTTTGGGCAACCCAGTCTTTAATTCACCGCATAACACATATGCGACCGCATAATGTGTTATGCGATCCACTTGCCCTCTACAAAATGCTTAGGTATAACACCCTAAACCTTCTGCATACTTTCACTCTCACTCACACACGAACACTATACAACACACACAAAATTAAAAATACAAAAACAAAGAGAAACAGAAGAAAAAGACAAAAACATTCGAATCACACACAAAATCTCATAACAAGGATTAGCATTGCAGAAAGATTCACCTCGTTCACATCTCAAAATCAATTTTTATCTTGCTCAAACATCTGGTATGTGCTTCTCTTCCCTCTTTCTCGTGGTTATGTTGCATAATATCAATTGCTTGAACTCCTTTCCTCCTCTTTCCTCTCAAACCTTTGTTGCGGGGACCTGGGTGAGAGATTCGTGGGTAATGTTTTTACATTCGAGTGTGGTTTGACAAATTTTGACTGAGGAAGACGTCCTTTGCATTCTGCATAATTGGTTTGTGGTCAATAAAGTCGTTGCAAACTGGAACCTTAGGTGGCCTGGTATAATGTGAGTCTGCGATGTTGCAAACATGGTCAGAAACAATTGCTATTCTTGTGAGCAGGAATGCGACCGTTTTGCGGTCGCATAACATACTTTGCGGTCGTTTTTGCGATCGCATAATTGTTTGCCTCATGTGTGTTGTAATTCTGCGATTTGTTTGCAGTTCGCAAAGTGGTTATGCGATCTCATAACCCATCGCAAAAGCTGTTGGTTTCATTCATTTTCCCTCAATGTGATTCCTATGCTATATCAACCATTCACACATTTTTTTTATCTTTATTTTTATTTTTTATTTTGTTTGACAGGAATGGCACCAAAGAAGTCTCACTCATTGCGATCACCTCCTGCTCGAGGAAATAAACGAGTTGCTGCCCTGAGCCAACAAGCCCAGCAATCAAAAATAGCCCGAAGAACTTCTGAGCACTCCTCCCAGTTTGCAGAGAAGGAGGCACAGATTGATCTCATGCCATCCGTTGACTTGCATGCTGAACCACAATGGAATAGTGGGGAAGATCTTAGATTTGGGGTCGCAGGCTCGTGGAATCTGTACAAAAATAGGCTAGCAAAGAGAAAGATTCTTGAAGAGAAGCAGCTAAGCCTCATCGATCTAAAAGAGCATTACCCTCATGTGATTGAAAACATAAAAAAAAAGGCAATGGGAGTTCTTCACTGAAGTCCCAGAGGAGTATAACGAGACACTTGTGAGGGAATTCTATGCTGCTTATGCTGCCTCCACAAATGCTGAGCAGAAGCGGAACCGGGTATTCTTGCAATCTGCAAAAGGTTGAGGGGTCCAAGAACTCTATGATGCCGCATCCATAAATGACATATATTTTCCGGATTGGTCGTCAGGCATGGCTGAGTATAATGCCAAACTTGCCAATAAAGAATTCGAGCGTGCCTGGGTTGCTTCTGTTGTAGCCAAAGCCCCTCATGGATAGTTCCGTGCCAAAAGATTCACAAGCGGAATCTCACTCAGGAGGGCCGGTATTGGCTCAGTTTACTCTACTCCGGTCTGATGCCTACGAGAAATGAAACAGACATAAACATCGAAAAGGCAATCCTCATTGCGAATCAGAAAGAAACATCACTTCCTTTCCCGTGTTTGATCACTGCTCTGTGTAAAGTTGTGGCAGTGCCTCCTATCCCCAAACATGATTGCATTGAAAAGGCTCTCCAAGATATTGACATCACTCGGATTAGTGATGCCGCAGGCAATGTGATGGACGTCCCACCAGAGACTTCACTAAATCCTCCATCAGACTCAGTAGCACCTTCTGCTCCCTCACTACATGACACTCCCTCCACACCAGCCACCTCCACATCCACTCCTAAGCCAACCACTGCACAACCACCTGCTGCCTTACCAGCTCTATCAAAGCTGGGTCTACTAGCCTAACATGCCAATGCAAAGGTAGACAGAACTGATAAAGGAACTCCCAGCTCTTATTAAGCAAGCATTGGCCCTTATCCAAGCCTCAGTGAGCATTCTTCAACAACAACATCAATCCTATGAAGATTGACTCAAGCACTTTGAAGTGCGACTTGAAAGGGTCAAGAGAGGCGAAGCTGGAGATATGCCTAAACTCCAATAAGATGACGCTGAGCTGAAATCAAAGCTGCACAAGATGCAGAATTTGGAGTTTGACTTGACCCCCTTTCTCCCGGAGGAAGGTGAGCAGAGCACTAGAAATTCCCACATTCCGAGCTTGGACCCGGATTTTACAAACCTTATGACAGCTCCTGAAGCTCAAGGTACTGAGACTTCAAAGGCTCGGGATTCAGTTGTACACATTGCCACTCCTTCAGAGGAGGGATCCGGAGAGTCTGAGGGGGAGACTGATGAGGGAGATAGTGAAGCAGGGGGAACGGATGAGGAGGCATTGGTTGAGGAGACTGAGGATCAACACAACAACAGAGGCAAACAAGTTGTAGTCTCTACTTATATACAGGATGAAGAGGAAGAAGATGTGCAAACAGCAATTGCACACTCTATTGCGGACATGGTCGCCAAGGCAAATCCATCGACCATGCATCCATCGATGGGAGAGGCTAGCAGCTCCCAGGTTCCAGTCCCAGCCTCACAGCAGGTGGAGCTTCCTATTCCAACCTCAGAGACCACCACATATTCTGAGGTCCCACATGTTGCTGCCACAGTGCCAGCAGTTGATCCCACAGCTGCCCCGGCTTCTTCAGCCCCTCCGAGCGCCTAGTGCGCCCCAGGAAGCCCCTAAACTTTGCTTTTACATTCTCTACGCATTGTGGAAAATGCATGATTTTTAGTTAGGGGTGGGGTAGTCATATTTTGTGTAAACATTGTACATAAACTCTCTTCTTTAAAAGTGTAGATTGGTAGTTAGCAATGAATTCCCTTTGGTTTTTCTGCGCTGGGTTCTTTTTCAAGGGTGTAACAGTAGAACCGCGGCAGTAGCATAAAATGTTTTGACTTATTTGGTGTTGATTGTTCTAGCTTCAAGCATGTAATGAATGTTTGTGAATAAATGGTACCCTTCCATCTTTTGTATATATCTAAAAAGAAAAACAAAGGGTAATGGTTAGTCATTCTTATGAACTTGAGGCTCGCTCTCTGACTTTATGCTTAATCAGAATCTTACATGTCATGTGATGAAGGCTTTGAGTTGCCTTGCATTCACTTGAGGGCTGAAACTATGTTGAGTCAAATAGTTTATGCGTTGTGAGTGAGTGAGTGAGGATTTGTATAAATAATGCATATGTTTAACTTGTGATGTCTAGAACTTACACGGTTGGTTTCTTAGTGCAAATCTCAGGTTAATGATTGGGTGCTAAAATGATATTAGGCTATCTTTGTGTTTGCTAGCTAATTTTGACCAAATTTACCTCCCTAGTACATAAATTACCCTAGTTACCCCGTTGAGCCTTTAACCTTTTATTTGGCTACCAAATTACAAACCTTTACCCCGTTGTGAAATAATTCCTTCTTTAGAACCCATCCCTCCTTGAACGAGTAAGAATGAGGCCAAAAGCCTAAGTTGGGGGTGCCGGTACAAAGTGGAAATTGGTAACCTCAAAGTTGTATATATGAAGAAAACTCGTTGGTTTATGGTATTCTTAGTTCCTTAAAAGTTCGGCTTAATGGCAATGGGGGTGTGCAATTCATCAGGTGCAATTAGCAATGCCCCTACTCAGTACCCATTTTGATTAATCGTGCCATCAAAGTCAAATTCGAGAAAAAGAGCGGAGTCTTGTAGAAACCGAAGAAATACTTTGAGGTGGTTCTATGTCGGTAACTCGAGGTCCATAAGTGCTATGTAGTAAAGAAGCAAAATATATGTAGAGTTCAAGGAGGGTATAGCCACTACATTCCCAAATATTCATCCAACCCATCCTGAAGTCCTTGCTGATCTACATCCAATCATTCCTGAGATAGCAACAAGTTAAAATAAGGGCAAGCATATGGACTAATAGTTGTAGCATGTAGCTTTTGTTCCGAGTGCAAGAGTGTTTTTATTGCATCCCCTGTACATATGTGTGAGTTGGGGATTTTCTTTGTTGTGAGCGCGCATGAATTGCAAGATTTAGCAGAAGTTAGGTTCTTGAAGTAGAATACAAGTGCACACTTAGCTATGAGTGGCATTTTGTCATTTTGGTTGAGGCTCGAAGTTCACAAGTTGATTAGTAGAATTGTTAAATGATAGTTGACT